TGTTCAGAAGAAACTTGGCTTAAGTCACCACAATGGCAAAGTGCAGACTCTCCAGTTTCAGCCGCATTCACAGAGGCACATCTTCTTTACTAAAGGGAAGGTTATATCTGCTTGAATAAAAGCCCTTAAACAATGCCATCATTGAATATTATAAATCACTCAAAGGAACTTGAAACCACTCACCATGGTGGCTGTGCTCTGGGGAAAGGAAAACACAATGATATTTCAGAAATTATTAGATATCGGTAATATTTTGAAGATATTCTCTGGAGATCCAATTTCTCACTGTTGTCCATAGATAAGGACTGGGGATTGTCAGGTATAAAATAAAGTATCAAATAAAGGCTGTCACACAATGGAATTAGTGTTACTGTGGTTTCACTTTGAATATATTTCCATCACTTCAAGATGAATAATTGCAGTCATATTTGGCAACTGGCAGAATTCCTAAATTTTCTTGCTGACCCTTGCAGTAAGTGTTATTATGATAAGAATGGATAAACGAAGGCTTTATGAGTTCCCTGACATCCACATTATAAAAAGCAGAAATAGTATTTCATTTCTGAGGGAATGGAAGAGATTAGTGTCACCTACATCTGAGAAAGGTAGATGGTGGTGATTTCTATCAGATGACTATTTAACTTGTATGTTTCCCTTGTGCAGAGAAGTCAGAGCTTTTGAAAAAATTTTGACCATTGTAAATTGTCATCAGGTGGTTTCTCAAACTGCATTTCCCAAACCAGACATTTTGGAGCAAACTTCTGTACACTTGGTTATCTGATATGCAGCTATTGCTCAGGAAACTGTTGAATCTGTATACCAAGGAATGAAAAAATAAGAGGAGTTTACTTTCATCTTACAGTGGTAGCAGTACAGTTCACTGTCTTAACCAAGCTCTATGTCAACTTCCAGTTTTCTGTTATGATACAGTACAGAGACCGAGATAGTCTTGAATTCCACAGAACATCGTGCTGGTTTATCCTGTTTGGGGTGTTTGTGTGTGTGCCTGTGTGCCTGTGTGTGTGTGTGTGTGTGTGTGTGTATTTGTACTTTCATGAGCTTGACCTTCCTACTGGATAATCCAGCACTGGACAAGACCCTGTATTACCAGATAACCAGGCTACCAAGATCTCTTGCTTATGTGAATTATCCCAAAATTTGCCGTGTTAAGTTCAAAAAGACAGTCTTTTTCATATAGCCGTGGATTTGCTAATAATTCTGTGGAACAGAGATCCCATATAATATCCCCAATGCCTTCTCTACAGACTGTGAGATTCTGCCATTCTGTTATTCTTTTTACACTTTGGAAAATTCTACTATGCTATACAGAAGGACTCCTAGATATTTTTCATAATATAAAGATTTTACACTTTCCTTTGATAGAGAAATCTGCTTATTTCCTCCTAAAACACACTTAGAAGATTCTGTACAAAACACATGAACACATTCAAAGTGAAGAGAATCTTAACTTTTTCTTTTTACATAGTAAAATACCTGCTAATTGGAATGTCTTTCTCCATTTGACAAAAGATGTCAGATGTCAGATGTCAATAATCTCATATTGAGTAATATGTGCTTCGTTTCTTTGAAGAGGAGAGAAATACATCCAGGATATTGATAGTAAGAGATTCCCTGTTTTCAATTAATTCCTAGAGTTCTTGAATATTATAAACACATTAAAATAAAAAATTAACGAATAATTATTTAACATTACTCTAATGGAAACATTTAATGATTGCAAGGCAAAAAGCTAAGCACTTGTTTCATTTAATATAAGGAATAAATGTGTGAGATTGATGCTGTTAATTTCTACTTTTGTAGGTGAGAGTATAAAGACTTAGAGAAATAAAATAAATTATCTGAGATGACATAACTAGAAACTGCAAAATCCAAAATTCTCTCTGATGCCTATTTCTAGGTGACAGCATCATTAATCAGTTTTCATGATTCATTTTATGTCTGTGTGTATTTTGTTTCTAAGTTTTCTACTATGAGAAACTCAATTTTTATTAAATCGCTTTGATTGTTTTTGTTTATAATGTCAAAAACCCAATCAAAAACTTTTAGTAAGGTCTTTAAAATGTATATATCTCTGCTTTGCATTAAATCAACAGAGCCAGGTCATTAACATTCCTGTGTAAAGCAGGTGGTTTGTTGGTATAACAAGACAACATTTAGTGGAGGGACCATGACAAACTGGCAAGTACATGCCTCATGTAACTGAGCCAGTGACTACTTGACCCTAGCTAATCCATGACATGTTCAAATTCAGTTACTGCTCCCATGTGTTCTGTTTATTTTTGTATTTTTTTCTTTAAAAAAGTTTCTATTTTGAATTCTATGTAAAGTCTCCCTACTTTAAATATTTTCAACTCAATTAAAACCATTTGATAACATTGTGCTGACCAAACAGAATGTCCACTGTCCCAAATTCAAACCAGTTTTAACCTTTTATATGGATAATAACTGAGGTTTTAATTCAATTTTTACTTTTCTACTTATATTTTCCCTATTATTTGAAAATTATCACAGTTATTCAGTTAAACTTAATATTTAAACATTAACTTTTATAATACACTAGACATTTGTGTCCCCTCAATATTCATATGATGAAATCCTAACCCCACAATATTAAGAGGTAGAAACTTTCCCAGGAAATTAGGTCATGTCATGAGGGTGGAGCCCTTATGAATGGTCTTGGTGCCCTTACTAAAGGAACCTTAGACCAATATCTACCTATTAATCCCTCCCTTCGGTCCCTGGTAATCACCCTTCTACTCTTTGTTACTATGAGTTCAACTCACTTAGATTTTCATATATGTGAGATCATGTGATATTTATCTTTCCGTGTCTGGCCTATCTTACCTAACATAATATTTACAGTTTTATACATGCTACAAATGTCAAAATGTCTTTCTTTTTTAAGGCCAAATAATATTCCATTGTAAGTATATACCACAGTTTCTTTATTCATCTACCAATGAAAATTTAGAGTTTTTCCATAGCTTGGCTGTTGTAAACTAAGCTGCAATAAAACATGGGATAAAAGTATAAATATCTTTTCAACATACTGATTTTATTTTCTTTGGCTATGTAGCTAGAAGTGGAATGACTGAATCACAAGCTAGCTCTACTTTCAAATTTTTGAGGACCCTCCATACTGTTTTTCATGACTGTATTAATTTATATTTCTTCCAACAGTGTACGGGGTTTCTAATTTCTCCACATCCTCACCAACACTTGTTATCTTTTCTTTTTCTGATAATAGCTATTCTAACATGTGTAAGGTGATATCTCACTGTGCTTTTTATTTAATTTCCTGGTTGATAACTGAGTTGAGAACTTTTTCATATACCTATTGGCCATTTGTGTATCTCCTTTTGAGAACTGTCTACTTATGTATTTTACTCATTTTTAATATATAGTGTAAACCAATGTGAATATTATTAATAATATTTTGCTCTTTTATTGAAATTTGCTATGACAATATATCTTTTTATTTATTTATTTGAGGCAAGGTCTTACTTTCCTCGGCCAGGCTGGAGTTCAGTGGCACATTTAAAGTTCACTCTAGCTTTGACTTCCGGGCTCAAGTGATCCTCCCACCTCAGAGCCTCCTGAGTCACTGGGACTATAGGGGCTTGCCAACACTCCTGGCTAATGTTTGTATTGTTTGTAGAGATGGGGCTTTGCCATGTTGCCCAGAGCTGTCTCAAACTTCTGGGCTAAGACAGTCCATCAGCCTCGGCCTCCCAAAATGCCGGCATGAACCACCATTCTGAGCTTAAGAGAGCGTATCTTAAGTGTTCTCACCACATCACAATAAGAAATGTATTTTAAAATAATAATAAAGGAGTAACAAAGAATGTGATACTATCTGAGGTGATGGATGTTAATTAACTCGGTTATTGCTATTATTTTACAATATATGAATATACATATATTCATACATATATATATATATATTTCATCAAATTGTAAACCTTAAATATATACAATCATCAATGGTCAAATATTCCTAAATTGAAAAAGTAAATACAACAAATAATAAATAAATAAGACCCTAGAGAACGCTGTTGCCATCTTTCTCCCATGAAAGGTTACAAGAAGCTGGCAGTTTTTTCGTAACCCAAAAAAACTGACTTCACTAATTTAACTAATAATTATGCTAACACCAGCATCTCTGATGTCCAGCCTCCAGAATTATGAGAAATAAATTTGTTTTAAGCCACCCAGTCTATGGTACTTTGTTATAGTAGTAGGAACTTCCTAAGACACCTTTATAAACAGGGCATTTGTAAACACAAATTAAAACCAACCTCTCCTTATCCTTTTCTCTTTATGAAAGTCCTCTAGAAAAGTAAGGGTATTTATTTCTCTTTCTTTTATTTTGTAACTTTAAATTCTTAAGATACCTGAGGGCCATAGTCTAAGGTTTAGTTAACCTAATATGTATTACACATTTTTTGTTTTTTTCTTTAGCATAGAGCAATTTATTAGACAGAGAGAGACAGAGAGAGAGAGGAAGAGAAAAGGAGCGAGAGAACTCCCACGCTGCCGTGGGAGGGGATCCAAGGGAGGAATCCCGTATTATACATTTCTATCTAAAGTTTGTCTTAATAAATGCTTAACAATTTGTCATTAGAAAACATCATTTCATTTATTGAGTCCTTACATTTTTCTTAAGCATTTTAATGTATATCATAATGCAATCATAAATGTAAAGTTTCCATATACTTTAAAGGTGAAGATTCATCATCTGTAAACAGCCTTTTTTCTGCCAGAAAAAAAGACCAATTTTTCTCAATCCTGCATTAAAATAAAATTAGAGAAAGCAAAATATTTTATTTACAGGATTTCTTGCTTATATCAGAGCAATTATGTAACTTTATTTCTTGAAGATACATTTCAGTAGAAGTTTCATTGTTCTCTGTAAATGAACTTGAATTATCATTTAGCAGAAAAAAATAGAACAATTTTTCCCACAGCAAACCCTACAATGACCAATTTCTTCTCTCTTTTTCTTAAAAGATATCTGCATCAGTATTTGAAGCAAGATGTTTCTGTGCACTTCATCAAGTAATAATCTTTCTTGAAGTCTTTTTTCCTCCTCATTAAAAAAAATCACATCTTCTCCGTCCTAGAGAGAAAGCATTTTCTTGTGATATCTAACTAGCAATACTATTTTGAAGGAAAACTATGCATAGTACTTCCATCTTGACTATCACTGAAGAATTTTTAAATAGTCTTTCGACTTCACATATTATGTGCATTAATTTTGTGTATTTTAATTCCCTTGCATTGTTCGTTTTCTGAATTTCTGACTTTATTATCCTTTATGCATTTTTAAAGTCTCATCTAATTTACAACTCTTTGCTTTTTTATTTCATAATACATGTTTCTGATGTCATTGTGCCTGTCTGTGTTTCATCCAGCTCATTTCACTGTCCTGCTAAAATGTGACAGCATTTTCTTCTAATATAACACTCAATATTCATGTTTCAAATTGTTTTTCTATTATCTTCTGGAAGTTGTACTCCTTTACAATGATATTGAAAGACTCATGCTATTGGTGACAAGTGGTGAAATTAAACACAAAAGTAGGTATCTACATAATTATACTCTATGATACTTTGTGAAATGACTGATTTTAATAGAAATTTTACTATTGCTTTGCTATGTGAAACATTTTTCTGACTTTAAGGCAATTGTTATTTGACATCTGAATATTCTGTTGTGGCACACATTTTTAAAAGTCAGATTTATGCCACTCAAGTTTATAGTGAATATACTTTAATTTAGATAACTAAAATTAAATAGCATACTAGGTGGATATTTGCATTTTCAGTGTTCATTCAATTAGGAAAGATCCTTATTTGCTTTGTCTGCAAAGGACTGGGCTTTCTTTGCCTAACTAAAACATCTGTGTAATTTGAATCAGTGTTCTTATCTCTCTAAGCAAAATTGAATTAAATTTGAGTCCTTTAGCCTTAAACACAATTCCACTCTTCAGTTTGTTAAGCGTCAGAATTTGCACCATTAGGTGGTGCTATGGTTTGAATGTATTCCTGAAAGTTAATGTGTTAGAACTTAATCCCCAAAGAAACACTGTTGAGAGGTGGGATTTTTAAGAGGTCATTAAGTCATGAGGGCTCTGCCCCTGTGAATAGATGAAAGCAGTTATTGTAGGAGTAAGTTTTTTTAATCACAAGAGTGGATTTGGTACAGAAGCAAATTTGGTTCTCTCTTGCTAACTTGCTCTTGCCCTCACTTGCTCTTTTACCTTGCACTAAGAGATGATGCAACATGAAGGCCCTTACCAGATGCTAGCATCATGCTCTTGCACTTACCAGACTCCAGACTGTGAATCAAATAAATGTATGTTTATTATAAATTATGCAGTCAGCGGTAACTATAGCAGCAAAAATGGACTAAGACAGGTGGTTTTACATTTTGTTCCCCAATGTGTGATATGCAAATAAGAAATTACTGAAGGTTATAAAACTATCCAATCTTGGGTCTAATTTCAGAAAACCTCAAAATACTGCAGACTAACACAGGTAGATAAATGGACAGTTAGATAGTAATACAGATACATTTCTTCAAAAATAGTGTTTAGCTTCAAAATACTTTGAATTTTGAATTTTCAGGAATCAATTCATATCTCTGGTTTTAATGAGGTAGCAAAATAGAATAAGCTAAGTATATATCTCTCAAACATAAAAAGATATACTTCACAAAGTTTCTGTTAACTAATAATTGGAAAAACAATAAGGACTTCATTTGCTTAGTTTAATTGTGATCAGTAAATACTTACTTTTGCTTATTACGTGCCTTGCACTGTGCGACACTCATTCCTATTGCCGGATTAGTGTCTGAAGATGTGGATGAGACAAAAATACAAATATCCTGCTGTAATATGGATGAGAAATGCTATCATTGCAAAACAGAATATCTGTAATGAACATTTGGCACACACTTAGTGGTCAAAGGAAGCTTTAGGCAATATACTCTTTAATTGACATTATTCACTCTTTATGGTCTCCTGTTGCATTTCTTGAAAATAACCAACATGGCACCCAATTCAGTTAATGTATTTAGTATAAGCAGATCAGAGACTTACTGATAAATGTCATCCAGTCTGTAAGTTCTGATCCAGGATGTCTACACTATATCCATAAATAAGAGTGCAGACTTTGGAAAAAAGTTCACCTCGATTTGAAAACTGGATCTTCTACTTTATTTTCTTAATGTTTTTATCTGTAAAGTAATGATAAAACTATAATCAGTTTTATAGATTCTTTTTTAAGATTTCTATACAGTAATCTATGTACTAGGTAAAATACTGGATGTCTAGTATACAGGTAAAAGAGTGGCAATTATTAGTGTTCCTATAGCTAATATTTCCATTATATTTTCTTAACTAGAAATGGACTGTCAAGAATTCATAGAAGATGGTGGAATAAATAGAAAGCACCTAAAATCCTAAAATCTGTGTTCCTACCTAAACAATAATTATACAGGCAGAATCAATCTGGTGTAATTATTTGGGAACCCTGGAGTTCATAGAAGGTTTGCAGCTTCCTAGAAAGGAATAGGTGATAAATTTGAAGTTAATTTCAGTCAGTATCACCTTTTAGCATAGTAGCTGCCATCCATCCCCCACCATTTAGCCCCAGGATCAGCTGTGAACATATTTTTGGAGAAGGTTACACAAATCTTGCCAGAGTCAGGGTGGGGAAAAAAGACGCTGTCTTCTAAATACCAGAGATCTGTGCTCTATTTGACACAGATCTCACAGAGGTCTAGACACAAAGGGGCATTTGTTGTATTGCATCTTCCTGCATTGCTGTGAGTTTCGCCCACTCCATCTGAAATGGTTTTCAGGGTATTTAAAGGGCCTATATGTTTTTCAGTTTGTTTCCATCTCTATTTTTTCTCATACCCCTTTTGAAAACCAAACTTTGAACACCAAAACCTTTAAAAGCAACTGCATACAACGGGAAAATTAGAAAGTCACTGAACATGCCTACGGGAAGGCAAAGGCTCAGAAAGACCTGAAAATACCTTAAGTGTATACCTCAGTCTGATCTTTGGCACAGTGACAACATGCAACAATTTAAAAAACAAAAATAATAACAACCAAAACCCCAGCAAACCCTAGGGAAGGTGGGAGGATCTAAAATATAGTCACTACATTATTAGATTCAAATGTCCAAATTTCAACTACTATGAAAAAAATCACCAGGTGCACAAATAAATGAAAATATATGATTTATGCAAATGAAATAAATAAAATATCAGGAATTGTCCCTGAAAAAGACTTAATTATAAGTGTATTTGTCAAATAAATTAAAACAACTTTCTTAAAAATGCTCAAAGAGGAAAAGGAAGACTATGGAGTACATCAAGAAAGTGATGTAAGAATAAAGTGAAAATATCAACATACAGATGGAAAACCTAAAAACAAGCCAACAGATATTCTGGAGCTAAAAAGCACAAAAATATAAATGAAAAATTCACTAGAGAGATCCAAAGTCAGATTTTAGCCGGCAGAAGAATCAGTGAACTTGGAAATAAGACAATAGGAATAACAGAGCTTGAACAACAGAAACAAACAAAATGTTAAAGAAAAGTGATCAGAACCTAAGGGACCTGTGGAACACCATCAAGAGAATGCATTGTGAGAGCCCTAGAAAAAGAAGAGGAAGAGAAAGGGGCATACAAACTATCTAAAGAAATTGTAATTGAAAACTTCCCAAATTTGATGAAAGTCATGAATATAAACATCCAAGAAGCTCAATGACTCCAATTAGATGAACTTATAGAGACTCACACTGAAATACATAATCAAACTGTCAAAAGTAAAAAACAAAGAGAATCCTAACAGCAGCAAGAGAAAAGGACATACCAGATACAAGGGATCTTTAACATAAGCAGATTTTATATCAATATCTTTAGAAGCTTAAAGGGAGCGAGCTGATATATTAAATGTTCTAAAAGAAGAAACAACAACAATCTGACAAGCAAAAATCCTATATTTAGAAAAACCGTCCTTTAAAAGTAAAGGAGAAATAAAGACATTTCTAAACAGACAAAAGCTGATAGAGTTCATTTTCAATAGACGTGTCTGTGAGAAATGACAAAGGGAATCTTACAGATTGAAATGAAAGGGTATCAGAAAGTAATTCAAAGCCATATGAAGATATAAGGATCCCAGTAAAGGCAAATACATAGGCAATTGTAAAAACTAGTGTTACTATGACAGTGATGTGTAAATACGCCTTTGGTTTTCTACATAATTTTAAAGATGTGCATTTTTTTTCAAAAAAATTAGTCTGAAATTTAGTATTATTGAAACTTTGGTTAGTAATTCCATATTTTAATATATACATATTTTAAGAGATTAAAGCATTATGAAATTATAAGCTTATGTTCTTGAAAACTAAGTATATAAAAATATAATTTTTAATTTAAGTTAAACATGTATAAATTTAAATTGAAGTGTTAAAGCTTTATGATATTATATGTAATTTCCATGGTAGCCATAAATACACTACCTAAGAAACGTACACAAAAGGAAACAAAAAAGGGATTTAAACATTTTACAACAAAAAAATTAGCTAAATTTAGAAGACAGTAATGCAAAAAATGAGGGAGTAAAAAACTGTAAAGTATGTATAAGACTAATAGCAATGTGGCAAAAGTCCATTCTAATCAGTGAACTTTAAATGTAAATTGATTAAACTCTCCAGTTAAAAGACACACATTAGCAGAATGGATTAAAAAAAAAAACATAATCCAACTATGCTGTGTACAAGAGATTTACTTTAGATCCAAAGATACGTAAAGGTTGAAAGTTAAAAAATATAAAAGAATATTTTATGCAAAAAGTAGCTAAGAGATAATAGATATATTAATATCAGACAAAATAGACTTTAAATCAAAAAAGTTTTAAAAGACAAAGGACGTTATATATCAATAAAGGTTTTCATGTAGCAAGAAAATATAACAATTTAAAAACATTTATAGGCTGGGTGCTGTGGCTTATGCCTGTAATCCCAGCACTTTGGAAGGCTGAGGCAAATAGACCATCTTACTTCCATTTCTCTAGATCATTGCTGTCTAATAGAAAATTCTACCATGATGGAAGCATTATCAGTCAGTATTTTCTAATACAGTGTCTGCTAGCCACACATGGTAATTCAGTACTTGAAATGTGGTTACGGCAACTGCTGAACTGAATTTTTCATAGCATTTAATCTTAATTAGTTTAAATAGTCACCCATTTCTAATGGTTATTGCATGAGATAGTGCAACTCTGGATATTTACCACTATAATTATTTTTTAAAGTATTTAATTTTTCAAAATTCTTGTTCCTCTTGTCATCCAAAAATAAAGACACAGCTTTTCTTGGAAAAAAAAGATAGCACTCAATCTGCATAGAGGAGCTTGAGAGAGAAATTGACAAGGCCTTAGCAGCATCACAGACAAATGGCAGCAGGTGCTGTCTTCTGAATCTTCCCCCATGCCATGCTCAGGCTACACTTTTCTCTAAGGCACCTCTCAGCCCATGACTGAGCATAGTGGGTATACTGAGACAGGTCTATTTCTGTAAGATGCGGGACTCCTCTAAATGGTAACTTTGACAATTACTTAGCAGAAAACTTAGATCTGTATTGAGAATCTTCTTATCAAGCCTCCTTTATTTCCTCTTTGCTTTGCAGGAATCAGATGTGCATGTTGGTGTGGGGATTCACTTTGCTTCTTCTAGCTGCCTTCTCCTTTTCTTTACAGACATTTTTTTCCCTATAAACCCTCTTGCACATCTGATGTTAACATGGCAAATACTACTCAGAGGACCTGAAATAGCACACAGGCCCTTAATCTTTGTTAATAAAATATATTTAATTTTATTTTAAGGTTAAAAGATAGTCAACAAATCTCTAGAGAGAAACAGATGGTGGACAACATACAATGAGTGACAGTTAAAATAATTAGAAATGTTTTCAAAATATATACAAATTCCTTCTGAGATGAGAAATCTAATTTTCATGGGAATATTTTGCCATTTTCTCCCTGCTGAATCACTCTCTCTTTTGCTTATGTCTGCATATTACATATGATAAAAGCATGATGATAGCTTTAAACAAAAATAATTTCCCATTATGGCTCAGTTGACAAATGTATATAAATAGGTCTGGAGCAGTAATTCTCAACTTGGGTGATTTTGGTCTGCCAAAGACTATTTGTAAATGGAGACATCATGGCTTGTCACAGTTGGCATGCTGCTATTGGCATCTATCAGATAGAGGTTAGGGCAGCTATTATACATCCTATAACGAATAGTGCAGATGCTGCACTACAAAAACAATCTTCAAGCCCAAAATGTAAATAATGCCAAAGGTGAGAAATCATGGTTTAAAACAAGTTCACAAAGCTTATGCGTATTTATGAATGATCTTTTCAAACTGTGTCCACATATTTGAAAGCTGTTTCACATAAAATATAGCTACTCCTAGACACACAAGAAATGTAAGATTCCTCTTTAATGACAAAGATTTTTAGTGTTGGAGTAATTTTGTACCACATTTAGTTGGCATATCCCATCAAAATTCAATCAAACTTTTTGTTTCTGTAAAATTAATATTTGTTAAGTCAGTAACTGAGACATGATTTTTAATTATTAAAGTTATCTTGTATTTAAGTAACATACTCTGTAACTATAATAGTTAGGTTATGAGGCTAGACATAAATCATTTTCTAGTAACATCACATTATCAAATAGTGAAAAGGGCTAGTAAATATCAAGATGATTATATTTCAAATTGATTAAATCCTGTTAGCTTCCTGTTCAGTGTCAAAATCTGATTCAGTTCACACATACACACACAATCAGAAATAGAAATGAAAAACATTATTGGGCCAGGATCTGTGAGAAATCTTTGAAACATATCTACTAAAATATATATTGAAACACATATTTAAATATATATAAATACATATGGAGAAAGAGTGTGTGTATTACAATTGAACAGTAAACCCAAACCCAAAAGACACATGGTGGTTTACTGATATAATAGGTCCAAGAAGATGCCACTGATAAGTTACAAGGTAATTATTTGTTTACAGGTGACTTTTTTTCACACAGCAAAGGGTGTGTGAATTACTCTTAGCACATCAATATTCTCTTAATGCAGCAGCAACGGCCTCTGAGTTATTGTCTGGGAGAAATGTGAAGCAAGATGTACCATCTATT